GACTAGCCCCGGGTTCTCGCTCTCTCTTTATCTACCGAGAAGAGCAAAAATCCCCCTGCTCTTGTCGCGGATTCCCCTTTTACCTGGGAACTTACCCCCGCTCTTGTCACGGATTCCCCTTTACCTGGGAACTTACCGGTGCACCACCCTGACTGCAGAGAGTTCTGAGTCCTCATTGGGGTTATGGCTGAGTCCCCGTACGGGCCACCACCTGTCACGACCGCCTCGACCAGCAAGGAAGACGCGACACCGAGCTCTTCTCTCTGCAGTTTGTTCAGGACCTTTGAGCAATCTTCTGACCCCAACCCCGGGGAGAATTCCCCACAGCCTTAAGTACCCGCTGGGTAGCCAACCCTGATACGCCACGTGGGAACCACCAATTAGGTCCAGGTGCGCGGAAGCAAGCCAGATTCTATACCTTAGCCATATAAGGAGTTGTTTACCACAGAGAGCACTCGCCATTGGGAAGGCGGAGGGCGGAAGCTGGCGCCATCTTCCAGGTGTGGCTGCACGCAGCTCTCTACACTGGCCTCTACCGCTTGAGTCACGCCTCCCTTTCTGGCACTTTTGGCAGTTGATTGATAAGAGTCTCACAGACTTTTTTGCCTGGACTGGCTTTGAACCAAGATCCTCAGATCTCAGCCTTCTGAAAATGTAGGATTAGAGGCGTGAGCCACCAGTGCCCGGCTCTCTTTTTTTTCTTTCTACAAAATGAATATTGTCCAATATAGAAAATTCAGAAGATATTGGGAAGCAAAAACTAAAAATTTATTTTAGAGTATGTTCTCTCCTGCGTTTTCAAAAATGGAATCCCTCTGTCCACTCCTTTCTTCGAGAGGCAGGGTCTTCTGTGCGTCTGGAGCTTCCAGTGTGGATCAGTTTCAGGGCGTTGCTGCACAGAATGGGGTCCCCTGCATGGGGCTGGCCAGGAATACAGGAAAGGGGCAGGTTACAGTCAGCCTGGGACCTGAGGCCTTGTAAAACCAGCCCCAGCCCAGTTTTACAGGCCAGACAGCCGGGGACCCAGCCCACTCCGCCCGCCCACTTCCTCCCTGCGGGCCGTCATGAGACCCCTGTGGTTTTACTCAGGACCTGCCTTGAACCCGCTTCATCTCCGTCATTACCCCATGAAATGAGCGCTCAGGAAAAGCACCCCCCGTTAGAGACCCCAGGCCTGCTTGCTTTCCTAACTGTGCCAGTGCCCCGAGAACACAGGGCCAGGACACTGCGGAAGGTCTACTGTTAGCAGCCAGGGGGGAACAGAGACCACCCCAGGTCCCGGGAGGCCCTGGCAGTGCCTGCCCCCCCCCGCGACCCCCCACGCCTGCCCCGCCCCCCCGCCCCCCCAGCACACCCCACACCCCTGCGCTATCTGTCTTTCTTCCTTGGTTTGTAGAGCGAGAAGAGCTAACCCAGGGCGTGCTGGCCCAGGTGGCGGAGCAGCTCTCCAGGTACTGCGTCCTCTCAGCGCCCGGCCTGGCCCCGTGGGCATGGATCTCCGTGCAGACGCAGCCCCGGCTGCCGGGCCCCTCCTGTGATTCCGTAACCAAGCTGGCTGGGTTCACCCAACCCAGCACCTTGTCCCAGAGACCCATCTGGCATCATTGTCAGGATGGGAGCGCCGGGCCCAGGGACTTTGTCTTGAGAGACCCAGAGCCCACCACAGAGCTTGGCACCATTTTAAAAACAAGCTTCCCCGCTGACCGCCTGCCCATGGAGAGGCTTCTTTTCCATTCCAAGTCACCCTGCCAGTCCACATCACTGGCTGGTCCCTCCGTGGCCTCCCCCTCCCGCTTGGTTCTCACGGCGAATGGCCTGTAGCCCCTGAGGGCCCCAAAGCCAGCCGTGCCCGCTCAGCCAGGCTGCCCCAGGGTGAACCTGGGACTTGGTGTCCTCCCGCGGGAGGCCCACTGCCCTGGTCACAGGATGGGATGTCCCCCAAGTCTGGCTGGGGACACTGAGCCCCTTAGAGCTGCCCCACCAGCCTCGGTCCCCACCCTCTCCCGGCCTGCGCAGGGACTCGCCCAGGGCGTGGAGTCACAGTCATCTTTGAAGGTTTTATGGGCTATAGTCTGTCTTTCTTTTTTTTTTTTCTTTTCTCCCTAGAGCATTTAAAATCAATGAACTGAAAGCGGAAGTTGCAAATCACCTGGCGGTGCTGGAGAAACGGGTAGAATGTGAGTGACTTTTTTCTTTGCTGCTTATGTGTCCTTTAATCCCCGGGGAACCATGAAGACAAGGTGCATGCTGCGGGGTGCAGCCCCTGCTGTGCGCGAGGTGTTTGGGAAACATCTTTCCCCTCAGCCAGGGCTCAGGCAGGTCTCAGCCTTGCAATGCGCAAGGCAGAAGAGCCCGCCGGGAAAGCCCAAGGTGAGCCTCTGCTGGCCCGTCCACCTCTTCCTGGATCCACATCGAAACCTGGGACTGGGCCATATCTTGGACTGTGTCTGCAGCATGCTTAGCTCTTGGTTTCCAGTCACCCCATGAGGAAAGTAGAAAAACCATACCGAGCAAGAGAGGGTGGGTTCCACTCTATGGGGTCACCAGAAAGCCCAGATTCTGGGAGGAATGCAGCCTCCCATCCCTCGTGCCTCCCCCCCCCCAGTCACCCCCCTCCCCTCGCCATAATCGGAGGGCTGTGGTTTGGACTCCACCAGCCTGCATCCCACCGGTGCACCGCAGCAGCAGGATTGTCGCGGTCCAGGTGGAGGATGGTCCATAATTCCCACCGTTCTTTTTTGTGCCGGTACTGGGATTTGAACTCGGCCTCGACACTGCCCCTTCCAGCGTCTTTGCTGAGGCTAATGCTCTATCACTTGAGCCAAGTTCCCCTTCTGGCTTTTTGCCAGCTGATTGGATGTATGAGTCACTTGGATTTGTCTTCCCGGGCTGGCACCAAACCTCGATCTTCATATTGTAGCTCCTGAGTGGCTAGGATTTCAAGTGTGACCCCACAACCCTGCTTTGGCACCTTATTTATGAACTCAGTCTGAGTGGAAAAAAAAAATCAAACAGGAGGCCATTAAGCATCAGGTATCCACCCTTCTCCAAAAAAAAAAATCTGGATGATCTATCCTTGTAAGATGGCTGATCGTCATTTTTTTTATATCTTGTTCTAATTATAATTTTTCAAGAAAGGAAACTTGGAAGCCTGGAAGTCCTGATTCAGGTTACTCATTTGCAGTGAGGCTTTTAGGCTTTTCAAAGTGTGTCAAGTTGTTTCAGACTTATTGGATTATTCAGTTGTGATGACATTTTTGTTTTCCCTCTGGATGAAGCCATTCAGCAATTAGACAAAAAACTCACCCTGGGAGCGGTGTCGGCCACTCCTCAGGAAAAGTCAGTCCCTGCTCTGCACACCAGCAAGAGAGCAGCTCCTGGGCACCAGGGCACAAGGCTGGCAGAGAGCAGGGGTGACGGGTCAAGGTCAGCCCAAGCAGAATGACTTTTGTGGGACTCTCATCTCAAATAGTTGTGGCTGCAGTTGCATACAACTGGCATCCCAGTGACATGGGTGCACAAGTTGGGATGGCAGCCCGGGCTGGCCAAGGAGTAAAGCAAGGCCTGGCCTCAAAAATAATGGAAGCAAACAGAAAGGACTGGAGGTGTGGCTCAAGGGGTTGAGCCCCTGCCGAGCAAGCATGAGGCCCTAAAAGAAGGAGCCTACTGAGAGAGTGCTTGACTGTCACGCATGAGGCCCTGCGTTTAATTCCTTGGTATCACATACACACAAAAAAATTAATTTTAGCGCCGATGGCTCACGCCTGTCCTCCTAGCTACTCAGGAGGCTGAGATCTGAGGATTGCGGTTCAAAGCCAGCCCAGACAGGAAAGTCCGTGGGACTCTGAACCACCAGAAAACCAGAAGTGGTGCTGTGGCTTAAGCAGTAGAGTGCTCGCCTTGAGCTGAAGAGCACAGGGACAGCGCCCAGGTCCAGAGTTCAAGCCCCACGACCAACAAAAAAAAAAAAAAAAATAGAGCTTCTCTGGGACTCCTTCATGGCATGAATTAAAAGAAATAAACTGGCAGTCTTGAGCAGAAAAGGATTTTGCCAAGGATTCTGGGCAGCGCCCGCCTGCTCTCGGGAGAGCTCAGTGCCATGTGCAAAGCCTGGACTGTGCCGATCCAATGCTGCACGGCCGAGGGTGCCGGGCCTGGGCACCGCCGTGAGGCTCCGCTGCTCCCGCGCTCCAGCCCGGGGTCCTCAGCCCTCGCGTTCCTGCCGCTGCAGCATGCCTCGAGCTGCTGCTTCCTGTCTCTGGCTGCAGATGCGAAGCCTGGGCACACTGTGCCAGGTGCCAGACCTCAGCTGCAAGGGAAACCTGGGAGCCGGCCTGGGTTCCTCTCCATGACGGCAACAAAGCACCACAGCCTGGGTGGCTGCAGCAGCAAAAAGGCATTTCCACAGCGCTGGAGGTAGGAGGTTCAAAACAAGGAGCCTCTCGCGGGCATCTGATGATTCTGAGAATGCCACATCAACACAGCCAGCCTCTGCTGTGACTGCCCCCAGCCCCCACCGTCACGGGGCCCACCTGGGACTGTCACATCTCCCCTGCCCATCTCTCGAGAACACACATGGGTCTCTGAATCCAGATGGCCTCAGCTCAGCTTCTCTAACCGATTGTCTACAACGGATCTTTCTCCACCTGGAGTCACATTCTCAGTGTTGCAGGAGGTTAAGATGTGAGCACAAGGCTGGTGCAGGTGATCAAGGTTCAAACCCAGCCTGGAAAGGAAAGTCCACGAGACTCTTATCTCCAGTTAAGCACCCAAAAGTCTGGAAGTGGAGCTGTGGCTCAAGTGGCAGAGCTCAGATGTGTGCACTACAGATGACGTATGCACAGTTTGGCCCACGCAATGAGTACCCAGCTTTTCCAACTTCCTGGTGGGAGCCAAGCACCACGGAGCAGGAAATTCTCCAACCCTGGGAAAGGATTGCAGCCATAGGAGGTTTGGAAGTGAGGTGTCAGCAGGCCTGACCTCTGGAGGCGAGGCAAGGCGTGCGACTCAGCCATCCTGGTGGGCAGGCGCGCCTCCCTCCCCGAGGGACGCTGTTTGCTCGGGCCCCTGGCTCCTCTCCTGCATTTCTGGGTGGCCACTCCCCAGGCTGAGGGGCTGCTTCTCCATGGCTGAGGATGCCCCCGTCTCTGAATTTGATCTCAACCAAACCACACACACGCATCAAGTGTAACCACAGGCCCAGGATGGCAGGCACAGCTACCCTGTTGGGACACACACGCCCACCTCTCCCCACATCTGTCCACCTTCCAGAACTTTCTGTCGCTCGAGCATCAACAAGATCAAGCTGTAGGAGTCTTGCTGTAAATGTTAACTGCCCCCTGTGGCAAGCGCAAGTCCCTGAAGGCTCCCTGACCCCCCCCCCCGCCTTCCTTTCGGAAGCCAGACCTGGAGCGGCAAATTGCCAGGAAGAACCCCATGGCAAAGGAGCAGTGACTGATCAGGCAGCCAAAAAGCGTGCCCAGCTCCTGTGCGCCCTCCACTGGCCGCCAGGACCGCTAGCGCCCTGGTTGCAGCCACACACACCAGCCTGACATTCAGTGCGCATGCTTCTGTCCATCCTTGAAAAGGAGAGAAGTTTCCCTGCCCAGGACCAGGGCTGGATGCATGCCTTAGGGCACAATAGGCAGTGTCCCTGAGAAGGTGTGCCCACTCGCCCCCACCATGGAAAGCCCATGGGGGGGCGCCACAGGCTTCCCCTGCCACTCTGAGGGGGGAGACCTTAGGAACCTGGGAGGTCCCGAGGCAGGCGCTGCTTTTCCTTTGGAAAGCTACGTTTATTCCCAGCAGTTCTGCAGAGCCAGGCTTGATGGGAAGGAGTGGGGTGACTTCGTGGGGGGGGTGCATCCTTTTGCATGCATAAAAACTGAGGTGTGCTGATAAAACACCAGGCTAATCTTCCTCTTCCTGAGAGCGTCGCAGGCTTCCGGGCCATACCTGCGGCCTGTCTGCTGCCGCAGTCCCCGGAGCCGGCTGCACTTCGCAGCGGGACCCGGGACTGCAGTAGCGCCCAGCTCTGCTCATCCTCAACCCTGCCTGTTTGTTTTCGTATCTGCTCTGGGGGCCTCTAAGAGCTTTGTATTTCGATGGGATTTTAATCCTTGCTGGGGAAGCTTGGTTTTTTAGGCACTAGGGCTACATTTTCCCCCTTTTCTGTTGGAGATAAAAGACTCGGGCCTTCCCCTGGCACCGACACATGGGGGAGGGGCTCCTCTCTGACTGCAGCTGTGTGCCACACGTGGGGGCCGAGTTGCTGAGCTGGGGGTGAGACGCACAGCCGCACCGGCCACGGTGGGAAGGTCTGCGCTCCTCCCCTCTCACCCACAATAACCCTGCTGTGATGTGTCTCTTTGTCACCAGTGGAAGGACTTAAAGTAGTGGAGATCGAGAAATGCAAGAGTGACATTAAAAAGATGAGGGAGGAACTGGCCGCCAGAAGCAACAGGTAAGGTCTGCGCCGGGAGAGCCAGAGCCGCCGGGCGTGGGAGGGCTCCCACAGAAACCAGCAAGCAGGGGGCCGGGGCCTTCACACCCCAATCTGCTGCCAGTGGGGGGGGGGTGGCAGGGCTGTTGAGAGGAGCTTTGTAATCCTGAGGCTGTCCAGTTGGCGTTGATGGCTGAGGAAGGCTCTGGAGAGGAGCGCACGGCACACGGGGTAATGTGTGTGTTGTAACCCATCAGCCTGAAGGAACTTGATGCCGTTTGTAAAGAAAACGAACAGTGAGCAGACAAAAGCATCTGGCAGACAGGATGAGCCTCCTATTCCCAGGACTCTGAATAGAGAGCATTGGTCTGTCTGTCCATCTGCCCATCTGACTTGGCAGGGAAGAGAGGCCGAGTCTCTGGGCTGAAGCTTGTTAAGCTGGAGCTTTCTCTGCACAGTGAAGAGAAGGGGGAGGGGCGGCTCCTTCCCTCTTAGGGGAGCAGAGTGCACTAGGTGAGGGTGAGCCTGGCTCTGTACGCACACGGTGGCTGCTGAACCTGAAATACCATGAGCCCACGTCAGCAGGAGCCCACTGATGTCCGCAGGGACAGCAGAGGTCATGAGGCCTGGCCCACCAGCTCCGGCAGCCTCTCCTCTCCTGAGACTCAGGCTTCTCAGAACTGTCCCCCAAGGGGGAAGAGGCTCGATGGCAGGTCCACTGGGGAACCCAGCGCCACGGGGGGGGGGGGCAGAGTGGGGCGTGGCATGCGCCAGCTTCTCCGGGCTGGGAAGGCTGCAGGATCACGGGTGCTGACGGAGGGCTCTAGAGGTCTGTGATCTCCACGCGCATCCCAGACAAATGGCCTTGACCGTGGACCGAGCCCCAGGGGAGGGGAGGCAGGAAGCCCAGGAAATGAAGGGGAAAATGGGCTCCAAATGGAATGAAAAGCAAAGGCACCCTGCCAGCTGCTCTGCTAGCTGGAGGATGCTTGTTCCCATGGCAACAGGACTCTGGGGGCGGGGCCACTGGCCAACGCAGGTCAGCAGCCCATCTGTGCCCAGGGCCTCTGTGTACCAAGGAGGAGCTGGACTCCAGCGGTCAGGCATCCTGCCTCAGGGTTTCATGACCCCCAGGGGAATACGGGAGACACAGAGACAGCACTGTGCACATGTTTGTACAAACAAGGTTCAAAGCAGAAAGGAAATCATAGTGCAGTTATCCAAACTGCACAGACCAAGTTCCTGAGTGCTCAGAAATGTGCCCGGAGTGGTGGTGGAAACGGCTGTTTGGTACACTCGGTGGCTTTGAGTCTTTTGTTATTACTGTTTTGCTAAATCTATTAGAATCCCTTCTGCACAGCAAACTGTCATAGCGATCCTGGTGATATTCACAGTGTAGCGCTGGGATGGAGAGCAGCAATACTGAAAGCTTCTGTTTAGGAAATAAATATGCTTGTTCTTCTGAGTTTGAAAGTAGTGTCAGCTCCTGGTGCAACTTCCAGACTACCAGATGGGGGTGGGGTGTCACCCGCGATGGCACTGGCCAGCGATGCCCCGTTTAAACGGGACACACGGCCAAATGTTTCCTGGCGTGCACATATCCGGTTGTTTAGAATGACGAAGTGTTGTCTTGTCATCCTTTTCCCACTCCTAGCATCAAGCAGTGGATTCGCTTTGAACCAACATTCAGCACTTTGACTTTTCCCCCATGAGGCCCAGCTCAGCCCCCTTCGCCCACCAATGTGTTCTTCATCCTGGTAGCTTATCAGCTTTTCTGCTCGGCCCTGCAGTTCAGACCGAGTGTGACCTCTTCCTTGTCCCTGTCTCTTCACATCGCTTGGCTTTCCGCCACTCCCTTCCCTCCCTGGCGGCACAGGGTCCCACCTCTGCCACCCGGGTGGCTCCTGCACTTCCCGTGAGGAGCGTGCACAGGGGTGAATTCTGCACTTCCCGTGAGGAGCGTGCACCCGGGTGAATTCTGCACTTCCCGTGAGGAGCGTGCACAGGGGTGAATTCTACACTTCCCGTGAGGAGCGTGCACAGGGGTGGCTCCTGCACTTCCCGTGAGGAGCGTGCACAGGGGTGAATTCTGCACTTCCCGTGAGGAGCGTGCACAGGGGTGAATTCTGCACTTCCCGTGAGGAGCGTGCACCCGGGTGGCTCCTGCACTTCCTGTGAGGAGCGTGCACAGGGGTGGCTCCTGCACTTCCCGTGAGGAGCGTGCACAGGGGTGAATTCTGCACTTCCTGTGAGGAGCGTGCACAGGGGTGAATTCTGCACTTCCCGTGAGGAGCGTGCACAGGGGTGAATTCTGCACTTCCCGTAAGGAGCGTGCACAGGGGTGAATTCTGCACTTCCCGTGAGGAGCGTGCACAGGGGTGAATTCTGCACTTCCCATGAGGAGCGTGCACAGGGGTGAATTCTGCACTTCCCGTGAGGAGCGTGCACAGAGCTTTTTGCCTGAGTGTCACTCTTTCCCCGGGGTAGCCACATGGCCTTCTCTGTGGCTCTTACTGCATGGTCCTAAATGAATGTTCCAGAAGGTGGGACTTTACTCCCAGATCAGCTTCTGCTGCATTTTGCTCACTGCTGTGCTGGTCCCTGTCAACTGCCCCCCTGTATGGTAGACCCCAAATGAGCCAGGGTGTCCCTCCTCCCCAGCCAGGCCATACCCGGGGGCGGGGGGGCATGCCTCCTCCTGCCTCCCGGGGAAATTCATCCTCACACAGCCTCCCAGGGCAGCCTTCCAGAATAATCCTGCAGGCTAGCTGGCTCAAAACCACATCTGTCTCCTCTGTTCAGAGATGAGAGAGCTTGATGCTAAGTGGAGAAGAAAGCAGATAGAAAATCCATCTGGGGAGCTTGGGAACACTGCAAAAGTCCCCCAGGAGCAGGGCACAGGCGCCGCATGCTCCAGCCATGTCTTGGAGTCCCGCACAAAGCTTTCAGTGCATCGGAAAGCAGAGCTAGGCTGGGCACTGGAGGCTCATTCCTGTTATCCTAGCTACTCCAGAGACTAAGATCTGAGGATTGTAGTTCAAAGCCAGCCTGGGCAGAAAAATCTGTGAGACTCTCATCTCCAATTAACCACCCAATGGAGCTGTGGCTCAAGTGGTAGAGTGCCAGTCTGGGGCAGTGGGGGCAGGGCTGTGCAGGGCAGCCTTGCCCACTCGCTCTCCAGGCCCAGCAGGGCTACTGGGGCTGTGGGTCTGGCCCCGTGTTCTGTCTGCTCTCCCTCTGCTGGCTTCCTGTGTGCCAGTGAATGCCAAAGCTAATCTCCTTTTTCTCTGTAGGACCAGCTGCCCCTGTAAGTACAGTTTTTTCGATAACAACAAAAAGTTGAAACCTCGGCGCGATGTCCCCGCTTATCCCAAGGTGAGATGAAATTCTGGCTGGGGTTCAAGTCTGGCTCTGGGTCTCAGTGCCCAGGTGCCACATGGCGGGCGGGCGGGCCCCTCGCCGCTCTACACAGGGCCTCCGTCCCTGCTGGGCAGAGGCAGGACAGTCTAAGGCAGAACATTATTCTCCTTGACGTTTGTTTAGCAAAAGTGATTCCAGGCGTACTTTACTTTGTGAGATTATAGCATACCTACCCTCCCCCCCCCCAAAGGACAGCCTGCAGGTCTGCTAACCGACTCTGTTTGCACTCAAGTGTTAGCTGAAACAACTTTAAAGCTTCAAAAATCTTCATTGGATCCCTGGCCCTGAATAATAGTTTAGGTGGAAAGTGCTTCCTGCCCCCCCTCCCTCCTGGGGCTGGAGCTTGGGCTGGGCTCTGCCCTGAGTCTCTGTGCTCCAGTCTAGCACTTTGCTACTTGAGCCACACCCCACTTCTGGCTTTTTCTAAGTACTTAATTGGAGATGAGAGTCTCATGGACTTTCCTGCCCAGGCTGGCTTCCAGCCATGATCCTCAGATCTCAGCCTCCCGAGTAACAAGGATGACACCTGCTTTTGCACAGGTTTCCTCCGCTCTGAGAGAAGCTGGTTCTTAGTCATGGCCATGCCTGGTTTGAGGTCATTTCAAACAAAAGAGGTCACCATCAGCCAGGCACCAGGATCTCACACCTGTAATCCTACTCAGGAGGCTGAGATCTGAGGATTTGGGTGAGATTCGTATCTAGGAAAAAGCTTGAAGTAGAATATGGCCAACATGGTAGAGTGCCAGCCTTGAATGAAAAAGCTAAGCAAGAGCAAGGCCTGGGTTGATGCCCCAGCACCATTCACACACGGAGATGATCATCGTCACAGCGGCCTAAGTGGAGCGTCGGTAAGGCAGAGCCACGGCGGAGGGGCAGAGCGGCCTGCAGCTCCTCCTGCCTGCTGGGCAGAGCCTCCGAGGGCTTCACCCTGGTTCCCGTGTGCCCATTAGTTCGTACCTAGCTCCATGGGTTCCATGCAGTGTGTAGGCGTTGCTCAGGCCTTCCCACGAAGACCAAGGTCTGTCTCCACAGGAAAGTGGATCTGGTCGCTCCTCACACTGTCTCCCCTCCCCCGGGAGTCAAGTCACAAACCAGGCACAGCCCAGACCCAGAACACACAGGCCAGCCCTGTGTGCGGGGCCCCATGGAAGACCATAGCACATGCCAAGCGCTCTGCTGCCTTGTGTCCTAGCCTCGATCCTGCAGTTCCCTGATCTTGGTGGTACCCGCCTGGGAGCCCTGGCTGTCGGAGTGTGTGGTTAGCTCCCAGCTACACCCAGGGACGCTTCCCAGAAGGAGCAGCTCAAAATAGCTTCTTAGCCACATTTGAATTTATGCTGTGTGAATTTTTCCCTTGGTGTCACTTTGCTGTAGTTTTTATTGGTGAACATGTTGAGATCTGATTTACACATCTCTGGCTCCTCCTCTAAGATGCAGAGTAATGAGAATTTTAACAAATGTATACAGTCATGAAATTTCTGCACAATCACCATAGGGAAAATTGCCACCGGAAGTGGAGCCCTGGCTCGAATGATAGAGCACTAGTCTTGAGCAAGAAAGCTCAGGGACAGTGCCCAGACCCAGTTCAGACCCCAGAACTGGCACGTGTGCATGCATGCGCACACACGCGCACACACAAAATGGAGAACATTTCTATCACCCCTGAACACCCCATTGTACCTCTTGAGCCCTGCCCTTGACCGCCGGATGGCATTCCACCAGAAGGCCGCCCGCGTCTGTGCGGTGTCTGTGGAGGGGCGAGAGGGAGGAGAAGGCGCTCATGCTGGGCATCTGACACCAGGGCCCACAGGGTCTGAGCAGCATGGCCTCCTCTTCTTCCTAGTACTTGCTCTCTCCGGAGACCATCGAAGCCCTGCGGAAGCCCACCTTTGACGTCTGGCTTTGGGAGCCCAACGAGGTAAGAGACCAGCCTTCAGAGCCAGGGTGGCAGCACTGTAGACCCTTGGAGCCATCCCCAGGGCTCCTTCTCTCTACTTTCTTCTGTCCTTTTGAAGGGCAGCGGGAAGAGGGGGGAGCTTTGACCTCCAGGTTTAAGTTCAAAGTGACATTTCACAGGAGGACCAGGAGAAAAGAGCCCAGGGCAGGAAGGGCTCCCCAAGTCCAGCTGGTCCCAGGGACAGGGGGTCCCCCACCATGGGAGTCATGGTGGCACCAAATACCCGAGGGCTGCAGCCCACAGCCAGGCACTGAGCCCACAGAGGAGCCCCTGGCAAGGGGAGTGGCTTCTGCCCGGGGCATTGGCTGCGGCCTGAAGACTCTGGCTGCGGCCTGGCTGGCTCACCTGCGCCCCGCCCTGAAGACTCTGGCTGCGGCCTGGCCCGCTCATTTGACTGGTTGCAAGGCATCTCTTCAGATTTCCTCATTTGCTGAGGAACACAGGAATTTTTGTTCGTTCGTTTGGATCTATTCATCAGCGATCAGCTATAATCCCGCCTTCTCCTCCACCAAGAAGAGGAAAAAAATTCCCTCATCAGCCTCCGGCTCCACTCTGTTCACTCCGCCAGAATCTGCGGGGCATGGCTTCCCCCGCAGTGGGGAGACGCCGGCAGCCCCCTGACGAGCTCGGCGGCTGCAGCCTGCAGAAGACAGTGCTTCACCCTGTTAGGGTCTGGGATGCAAGCTGGGCACGGGTGGCTTGTGCCTGTCATCCTAGCAGCTCAGGAGGCTGAGATCTGAGGATCATGGTTCAAAGCCAGCCCAGGCAGCTAAGTCTGAGACACACTTATCTCCAATCAATCACAGAAAAAGCTGGGCGTGGCGTTGTGACTCAAGTGGTAGAAAGCTAGCCTTGCCTTGAGAAAAAGCTCAGGGACAGCATCCAGTCTGGAGTTCAAGGCCCAGGACCTGCAAAAAAAGAATCTGGGACACAAGATGGCCAGTACACATCGCTGCCTCTGTGGGGTCTCCCACACAGGAACAGCCTTGGCGTGGCCAGAAAAGCAGAGCCCCCGCCTCAGCCCCCTCACCTCAGTTCACCCCAGTAGAGCAGCAAACACACCAGGGATCCGTGGAGAGTCTCTCCCCAGCTCTGAGTGTGCGGCCTGAGGACGGGGATCCGAAGAGCTGGAGACAGTTATGGGCACCGCCATCAGAACATCTGTGAGGCCCAGGGCAGGGGGCAGGGAGCCAGAGGCCAAGCTTGGAAGAAAAATGGCAGTGCAGCTCCAAGACTGGACAGAACCAGTCTGTAGAGAAGAGCGCCTCACAGACAGCTGGCGGGTCCCACGCCAGCACCAGCAGGCGGGCCGCACGGCTTCCCCCCGGTCCTCCAGGAACATCACCATGCCCAGAGTCATCTGGCTTTCTGCCTGCAGGGAGTAAGAAGAGTCAGGGCCCCCGGTGCGCACAGCTACACGGAAACTGACCCTCAACTCAGCTCTGAAACCTGACTTGCCGTTCTGAGCCCAATGCTGCCCGGGCGGAAGAGGCCCCGCTGGGCCGCGTGGCTCCCCATGCGCAGGGTGGATTCGCAGCGCTCCGGGCAGCCCAGCCCTGCGGCTTTTGCCAAGGAGCCTGAGAAGGTGCTTCCAGAAGTAGCTGCCCAGGGGTGACAGGCAGAGAGGCCCAAAGACGGGGGCCATGGCCTCTGTTTGGTCGGCGGATGCCAGGGCTTTGGGAAAGCGCAGAAGCGCAGGGACCCGCTGGGAACTCTGCGGGCGTGGGAGCAGCCGCGCCGCCACCTCCCCCACAGCAGCACAGCAGATGGCTTCGTCTGGCGACTGTCCTCATCTCTTGACTCCCATTTCACAGCAAACATTTCGGCTTCTCAGCGTTGCTGTGAACAGCCTCTGAGCCGCCGGGGGGCGGGGGGGGGGGGAACCTCTCGCCATACTTGAGGCTGGCTCGGGGCAGCCAGGCCCCTGGCCCGATGACCCAGGCACCTGCCACCTCGGAACCAGAACCAGGACCCCGGACACCTGCACGGGGTTCCCTTGGGACCCCATCCCCACAGCCTGGCGCCAGCAGCTTGGCACACATCTGTCTGTCTGGCTAAGAGGAAAGGCCAGCCGGCTGCCCCAGGGCTCTCCCTTCATATGGAACAGCCCGGGCTCCATGGGAGGCACAGAACTCTGCGCTGCTGCAGATGTGGAAGGGTCGGATGGATGAAGTCGCTGGCTGCAGCTGTTTCCGTACGCACAGTGTGTGCGCGCGCAGGGACGGACTTCAGTGGCACACCCAGCCTTTGCTGACACAATGTGACTGTCCTGTCTCAGTCCTGGGGGCTGGAGTCAACAATGGATCCTTCTGGGGCCTCTCTGTGTGTCTCTGCCCCTCTGTCTCTCTCTGGCTTGCAGATGAAGCCAGGCTCCGGCGCACTGCCCTGGGCAGCCCTCAGGGTGTGACCCTGGCCAGGATGCTTTCAGGCAGGGTCGGGCTCTGTCCCCGGGGATGTCTCCATGGCCTCATGGTGCCATCTATAGCAACCCGGGCTCCTCACCCAGGAAGCACTTCTAGAAAGCACAGCCGTGCTGGCTGGCCTCCAGCCCTTATGTCTCATCCCTGGCGTACCAAGTCCATGGCTCTGTTACTGTTTGGGTAAGAAATGGCCTGCAAAAAGACTAAGTCCCCAGCTGGTACCACCGCTGGAGGGGCTCTGGGACCTACAGAGAGCGGGGCGTAGCTGGAGGGAGCAGGTCCCAGGGCGCGCCCTTGGGGGCTGTCTCTTGTCCTGGCCCCTCTCCAGCTCTGCTTCCTGGATATGGGCTGTGAAGGAGTTCTGGCCACCATGCCCTTCTCCCATGATGCCTTTCTTGGCCACATGCCCATCCTGGGTGGAGCCTCCTGGAACCCAGCTTTCGGCTGTTCTCTTGATATTCTGGTCACAGAGACCAGCAGTTGACTATCACAGATCTCCGCGGTGGCAGTGTGCCATCTTCACATGATGTCCTAGAGGACAAGGCCGCTGGCGTGGCTGGGGCATGCTGCCGGCAGAAGCTCGCCCCAGGCTCTGCAGTGACTCTAGGAAACCTTTCTTGTCCCAACAGGGCCTGGAAGGTCATAACTCAAGGCCTGTTCACCGCAGACTAAGGCCAGCAGAGGGTCCCCCGCCCCCTGCGTGGGCACCGTGGACGCGCGTGTTGGCCGGTTGTCCTCACACTGGGGTTGTGTTTCACATGTAGACGTCAATGCGGTCGTCTTAGTGTGGTTGTTTCAGAGTTGAGTTCCGCTTCCCCACAGACTGAGCCCTGTCTCTGGTTGGATTCTCTTGCACGATTGGGCGGCTTGCCTGCCCGCTCCAGCCCCCACCGTCTGGTGTCCCGGGAGGACGCCAGGCCCCCTCTCCATGTCCCCTGGTCTGGCTCTACGCACAGAGCGTCTGGGCTTTCTCTCCCGTGGGAGGCCTGGCCACAGCGTGGGTGCCCTGGTGGCAGCTCCCAGGAGGGACAGCCAGCCTCGCTTCCCTCCGCTCACCCCTGCCCCCTGCCCCCTGCCCCCCTGCCCACAGATGCTGAGCTGCTTGGAGCACATGTACCACGACCTGGGCCTCGTCCGGGACTTCCACATCAACCCTGTCACGCTCCGGCGGTGGCTGGTACGTGTGGGGCTCAGCTTGGTCCTGCAGACGTCCTTGGGCCGGTCCCGCTGGCACTGGGAAGTTCTGAAGGACACGGCCGTCTCGGTCTCCCCATCCCACCCAGAGCAAGGGGGGGAGGGTGCTAAAACAGGAGTGTGTAAGTGGGCAGGAGTGGTGGTGCACAAGGAGGTTGTGTGTTGTTAAGTGTGTCTCTATCAGCAGATCTTATTTTTGAAAACAAGTAGATTATTGTTGAGAGCCAAGTCCTGAGAAGTGCTCACACACGCCTTTTCTGCGGCGGTGGCCCCAGTCCGCACGGGCTGGGGACGCCTCAGTGGCCGCCCTCGGCTTGGCGTGGCGCCACCGCCCGCTCAGGACGTGCACACGCCTTGGGCCTCCGGTTGGGACCGGGGCCTGGCAGGGCATGCTGACCCTCTTGTGGGCCCTGCGGGGCCGGGAGGGCCCCGCATGGGGTGGCTCCCAACCTCTCCTGCCCCGCAGCTGTGTGTGCATGACAACTACCGGGACAATCCCTTCCACAACTTCCGGCACTGCTTCTGCGTGACGCAGATGATGTACAGCATGGTCTGGCTCTGCGGCCTCCAGGTGAGTCCCGCACGCACCCCAGGGGCCTGGTCCTCCGGGGAGGGGATGAGCCTGTCCCGCCGCTGCGGGCGACGGGCTCAGGCTGTCCGGCTGCCTTCCCACACCCATCACCAGCATGGGCATGGGCAGCGTGCTGCCAGGGTAGTGATCCCTGCGCCCTGCTGGCCCTGCGCTGCCCCGGGCGCCCAGGGCCTCTTCCCGCAGCTGGCAGTGCTCACCAGTCACCAGGCTGGAAGGGCCTGCCCTCCCCCTGCCCTCCCCTCCCACCCTCCCAGCAGGAGCAGAAACCCAAGTGCTGCCCCCCCCCCAATGTAGGAGAAACTCTCCCAAATGGACATCCTGGTCCTGATGACCGCAGCCATCTGCCACGATCTGGACCACCCGGGATACAACAACACGTATGTGCACGACGCTCCGCTCCCGCTGCTGCCAGACCTGCAGCCCCGCCCTCTGGCAGGTCCCGGCCGGCACTGTCACCAGAGGTCCCCAGCCCAGAGCACGGCTCCGGCTTTCAGAGCCGTCACACCCTGCAGGCAGCCACCACCCTGGGCATCCTGGCTTCAGGTTCCAACGGCAACACCTGTCCTGTCTCCCAGGGGACGGTGGCCTTCCGTGACTCCTGGTGCTGTCTCCCTGGCCTGTTCCAATGGAACACGCAGAGCTCGAGGGCCCACTGAACCCCAGAAGGGCTCCCAGCCTGCTGGGCAGAGCGCCGCGCCACAGAACCACAGGTCACTGGTTTGCAGTCAGTGACACGTCACCCTCTCTAATGAGTGTGTATGCTCATGCGGTGACTCGCGCACCAGAGCCGGGCCCCCTTCCTCAGAACACAGTGTCCAGAGTACCCCAGGCCGCCGTGCGGGAGGCCGTCCTGGACACCCCCGGGCCCTCCACATGCTTCACAGCTCAGGAGAGCAAAGAGGCCTCACCCCAGCATGGACTCCATAGTACAGCCTCAGCCAGGCCCGCAGCAGGCAGGAAGATCATGAGTTTGAGCTTGGACTTTCTCTCAAAATAAACAATTAAAATATAGGCTGGTTTTTGTCCCCCAAACGGACACTTGGCAGTATCAGCAGGAGCTCGGGTGCCTTCAGGGCACCCCCAGGGAAAGGGCAGAAGTTACAGGTGGGACCCATGAGGGTGAGCTAAAGATCAGGGTGGCGTGCCTGGTCAGGAGCGGCAGCAGAGGTGGGGTCCTGGGAGGCAGACCGCGGGCAGTGACGGACCAGCCCCGTGACGCCTTCCTGCAACCTCTGCAGCAGCCCTCACGCACCTGGGGGTGCGGGCACCCCGTGTGGGGTGCGAGCACCCCGTGTGGGGTGCGGACGCATGACAGGGAGCTCAGCTCTGACCCTGCCCTCCTCCACGCCAGGTACCAGATCAACGCTCGCACAGAGCTGGCCGTGCGCTACAACGACATCTCACCCCTGGAGAACCACCACTGTGCCGTGGCCTTCCAGATCCTGGCGCAGCCCGAGTGCAACATCTTCTCCAGCGTCCCGCCCGAAGGCTTCAGGCAGATCCGGCAGGTGCGTGGAGGGCGGCTGGCTGGGCGGGTGGGCGGGCGGATGGCTGGCTGGGTGCACAGGTGTTACTGTTCACGACACTTCACCAGCCAGCTCCTGCGGGATCCTGGGATGTCCGCGTCATTCGTCCCACGGGCCCTTGGAGGCGGTGAGGTCACCGCACATGGGTGAAGGATGGTCACACAAGCCAAAGCTTGTGCTAAGAACACCGCCAGCCTGTGGGACGAAGGCTGAGGCCATGTTCCCGCTCGCTCGCACACTCACGCGCTGCCTTCTCCATGCAGGGAATGATCGCGCTGATTCTGGCCACTGACATGGCACGCCATGCGGAAATCATGGATTCCTTCAAAGAAAAAATGGAGAACTTTGACTATAGCAACGAGGAGCACATGACCCTGGTGAGCAGCCTCGCTCTGTGTTCCTCATGGGGTGCGCCCAAGTTCCCCGCCCAGCTCAGGCATGAATCCTGCAAGCCAGTGTCAGGCCGGGCCTTGGGATGAGGGCCCACCTCCAGGTCACGATCTCCAGAGCCAGCCTCCCGGAGAGCCCGCTGCAGGACCTGCCCATGCGATCGGCCCAGTGCTTGCCTTCCAAAGAGCAAAGGTGCCAGGTGTGGGGGTGTATGGCTGCCATCCTAGCACTGTGGAAACTGAGGCAGGAAGTCATGTGTTCAAGCCAAGCCTGGGCTACATAGTGAGACTCTGCCTCAAAAAAATAAAAATGCCAAGCCGAGTGCCGGTGGCTCACACCTGTCATCCTAGCTACTCAGGAGGCTGAGATCTGAGGATCACGGTTCAAAGCCAGCCCTGGCAGGAAAGTCCATGAGATTCTTATCTCCAATGAACCACTAGAAAACCCGAAGTGGCGCTGTGACTCAAGTGGTAGAGTGCTCACCTTCAGCTGAAGAGTTGAGGGACAGCGCCCAGGCCCAGAGTTCAAGCCCCACAACTGACCAAAATAAAAAAAGCCAATCATCCCCTTTCTGGCATTCAGAGAGAAGGCAGGTGCTGTGTCTGTTTGCGTTTGGGATGCGTACACTCTGTGTGTGCATGTGCTGGTCCTGGGGCTTGAGCTGAGGCCCTAGACACTGCCACTAAGCTTTTTATGCTCAGGGCAATCTGCACTCTACCACTTGAGCCACAGCTCCACTTCCGGCTTTTTTTGTTAATTGGAGATGAGACTCACACACTTTCCTGCTTAGGCTGTCTTTGAACTGTGATCCACAGATCTCAGCCTCTTGAGTAGCTAGAATTACAGGTGTGAGCCACAGTGCCCAGCTTCTCACTCTTTTATTTTATTTTTTATTTTGTTGGTGGTGGTGGTGGTCATGAGGCTTGAACTCTGGGCCTGGGCGCTGTCCCTCAACTCTTCAGCTCAAGGTGAGCGCTCTACCACTTGAGCCACAGCGCCACTTCGGGTTTTCTGAGTGGTTTATTGGAGATAAAAGTCTCACGTCCTTTTCTGGCCAGGCTGGCTTTGAACTGTCCTTTTCTGGCCAGGCTGGCTTTGAACCATGATCCTCAGATCTCAGCCTCCTGAGTAGCTAGGATGACAGGCGTGAGCCACCGGTGCCTGACTCACTGTTTTTAAATTGTCTCTTTAAACCCAATATCATCACTGTCCTATCTGCTAACAGTAGGTGCCCTGCTCAGATGAGCTGAACTTGCTGTTGCTCATCTGGGTACACTGAGCCTTCATGGATCACTGCTGTGGGGCTGAATGACAGTGAACTCAGATAGGAGCTAACTCAGGGTCAACACAGGCACTGGGGGAGGACGTGTCTCCACGAAGTCAGGAGCTCAGGAGCCTTCCCTTTCCCTAAATTAGAAGTGATGTAATTGGGGCTGGGAAGGTGGCTCAGTGGTAGAGCGCTTGCCTCGCATTCATGAGACCCTGGGTTTGATTCCTCAGCACCACATAAAGCAAAAAGAAAAAAGTCAGAAGTGGTGCTGTGGCTCAAGTGGTAGAGCCTAGCCTTGAGCTGAAGAGCTGAGGGACAGCACCCAGGCCCAGAGTTCAGGCCCCACGACCAGACCCCCCACACACACATACACAAAAGAAGTGATACAATTGTCCCAAGACCTCAGTGAATACGTGAAGCTCTAGACAGCACAAAGGCCAGCATTGTCATGCACACATTCCCATGAGAAAGTCTGATTTATAAGTTAAGTGCCAGAAGAGCCTAACAAGGATGGTTATAGAGGGCTGGAGATGAGGTGCAAGTGGAGAGAAAGGCTCTGAGTTCAAACCCCAGAGACAGATTGATGATGTTGCTGCTGCTGCTGATGATAGCGACGATGGAGGTCAGCTGTTAGGAGAGTGTGAGGCAGGAACGTCGCCGGCATTGCGGCTCTTATGCTCTGGAGTCCTTATTAAGTAAAACCAGGGTGGCTCCAGGCGACTGTGACACCCACAGTCCCTCTGAGAACCAAGAGAACCACTATGTAATTAATGGGCGAGCAGCCAATCCTGCGTGCGGATGTGGACAAGGGGGTGTGGCTGGAAGAGAACAGATTTCCTAGGTCCATTTCTCACAGCAGGAAGTTTAAACTGTACAGGCTGGGTGGCTTCATTCTTTTCTTTTCCTGTAAGTTTCCACTGACTATTTCTGGGCCACCATTGACAACGGGTAACTGAAACCACAGGAAGCAACACGAAGGGTCAGGGGACCACTGTGGCCACATGATCTCGGTGAGGCCTCTGCTCCTGCAAACCCATGGGATGTGAGAGAGGCCACTTCATCCCGTGAGGAAGGGCACCGAGACGAGTCGTTGATGGCAGGAAGAAGGCAGGCTGCGCCCCTCCGCCCAGGCAGCCGAAGGGTCGCGGCGCTGGGCGGGAGGCAGGTAGGGGGACAATCAGGACAGTGAGCCAGACCAAAAGCAGCACCAGTCTTCATGTGCCTGCCCACAGACAGCGTGCACGGGACAGAGGCCCGCCCAGCTTCCCTTCCCCTCCACGAGACGTTGGCGTGCCCGAGCAGGGTGAAGGCAGCTTAACTGGGTCTGTCCCATCCTGAGGCCCCGGGGAGGCTGCTGCTGCCGGTGACCATGTGACTCGGGAGGAGGAGAGTCTGGAGCCACAGCCCCCGGAGGCCAGCCGGGAGCAGCACACCCAGCCTGAGTCGTGTCCCACAGACTGTAGTGTCTGGCTGGCATGGCCTCTGGCATGGGGCAGCTCCCCTGGGAGGCCTGCCAGGCCAAGCTTGTGACGGCCTCTGGCCTGGAGCTGGGCCCTCCGGGAGGAAAGATAGGATCACTGTGCGGGATTGGCTGCAGGCGGGTGGACAGGAGCCACAGGGGCCTCCGGGACCGCAGCGTGAACACACAGATCCACGCAGGCTCCACGCACACAGTGCACTGCTGAACAGAGCAGTGCGGCCACTCCATGCCCCGACCCTCCCACCTGCCCCGAGGAGCCGACAAAACCGGGGCTCTCTGGGCCCAGGCTTCCCCACCTGACCCCACAGGTCCTGGGTGGCCATCACCACCTTCATCCAGGAAGGTGGCCGTTGCTGGTGATGGTCCTTGGTGCCTGGTGCAAGGCCAGGATGTGGGACACTGGCACCCGGGCCAGGCAGAGGTGGTTTCCCACTGGATCATGGGAGGCCTTTCATCAGAATCCCTTGGGTGCCCCAGGCCTGCCCAACACTCATCAAGCAACACCCATCTGGGGTAGTGCCCTAAGAGGCTCTGGGCACAGGACAGCCTGTGGGCACGGTGGCCAGGAAGGCTGGAGGGAGGGGCCCAGGGCAGAGGCTGGAGGCGCTGGCCGGGCGTCCTTGGCTGAGAGATGGATGCTGGGAACCGAGTGCAGGAAACGTCTGTCAGCAGAGAACTGGCGTTTCACCTGACCGACGCCCGGTGTGGGCAGGGCAGGCCTGAGCTGTCCCTTGTGTTCTGTGCTTCTAGGTTGAAATTTCCTTCTTCCTTGCTTATCTGTATATTATTTTTGTTGTTGTCGGTCATGGGACTTAAACTCTGGGCCTGGGCGCTGTCCCTCAGCTCTTCAGCTCAAGGCGAGCGCTCTACCACTTGAGCCACAGCACCACTTTTGGCTTTTTCTGTTTATGTGGTGCTGAGGAATCAAATCCAGGGCTTCATGCATGAGAGGCAAGTGCTCTACCACTGAGCCACCTTCCCAGCCCCTGTATATTGTTGTTTTTTTTTTTAATACTGGGGTTTGAACTCAGATTCCTGAGCTTATTTGGCAAGTAGGTACTCTACTGCTTGAGCCATACTCCCATCCCTTTCTGCCTTAGTGTTTGTTTTGTTTTCTTATTATTGGAGGTTTTTTCAAACAGGGCCCTTCACTTTTTGTCCATTGCCAGCTTTTCACTGGGATCCTTCTAGCCATGCATTCTGAATGCCCGGGAATACACAGTTCTGGCCAGGCGTTCTGAATGCCCAGGAATACACAGTTCTGGCCATGCGTTCTGAACGGCTGGGAATACACAGCTCTAGCCAGGTGTTCTGAAAGGCCGGGAATACACAGTTCACTGCCAGGGTCCCTGTGTCATCAGCTTGGCGACTCTTGGTGCCCTTGTAAAACCCACACTTCTGGACAATGCCTTCTCTATTTTCCCCAAATTTCCAACAAGGAAGAGGTTACTTGTGAATTTGACCATTTGTAGTTGGTATGTGACGCTTTGGGGGTGCGAAGGTCCCCCTCCCCAGGTGAGACTCAAGAAAGGTCCAAGCGGAGTGAGGGAAGGAGGGGGCAGCAGAGCTCAGCCCCCTGGCCAGCATTCTGTCTACCCCTCACCCCACCTGTCTAGCAACTGCAGTCCACCCACACAGCACAGCCTGCCTCTCTGTCCCCCCTGCCCCGCCCCTGCCTGAACGCCCCAACCTCTCTTTCAGCTGAAGATGATCTTAATAAAATGCTGTGACATCTCTAATGAGGTCCGCCCCATGGAGGTTGCAGAGCCATGGGTTGACTGCTTATTAGAAGAGTATTTTATGCAGGTAAGACCCACCCCAAGTCATGCAGCTCCGAGGGTTCCTACTGGCCCCGCCCAGGGCTTGCGTTTGAAAGAGCTGGCAGGCCAGGCAGGCCTGTGGACCCTGCCCGCACGCGCAGCAGGCTCATTTCCTGCTGGTGGAAACGAGCCAGGGCATAGCAGAGAGTGACAGCCACCAGTCCCGGCGACAAACTCGGCAAGTAACTGCCCAAGAGTAGAGAAGTGAGAACGGCGGGGCACGCGGGAGCCCAGGAAGAGTGGGGGGCAGTAGGTCCCTGCCTGTGGCCCCACGGCCCCCGCGGGGGCATGCGTGCGCACTTTGTGCTCAGTGGTCAGCAGCTATTGGGTTGGTGTAGCCTGCCTTTTACCACGGGGGCGCCCGGTCTCCCCAGATGCCGAGGGCGTTTCTGTCTTTACATTGCTGTCCACTGCGTTCCCCAGAGTGACCGCGAGAAGTCAGAAGGCCTCCCCGTGGCCCCGTTCATGGACCGCGACAAAGTGACCAAAGCTACAGCCCAGATCGGGTTCATCAAGTTTGTCCTCATCCCCATGTTTGAAACAGTGGCCAAGGTGAGCGAACAGCGCCCATCCCACAAATACACACGCTTCAGCTGTGTGTTTTACACACCTGTGTCATGCACGCACACATCCATGCCCTGGGCACGTGCTCACAGAACACACAGGAGCCCTGAAGCTGCATCCTCCGCTGCCATGGTGACGGTTGCCCCTCCCGCTGCCTCAGAGCCACACGCAGCCCTGTGCCATGGGTGGACACCCATGTAGCAGCCGGCACCACTCCCAGCCCAAGACCCAATGGGCAGCACCAGCTCTGGTGGCTCCCCTGTCCCTCCTGACCTCATCCCCAAAGCAGCAGCTGGTGGAGATTCTGCACTGAGGAACGGCGGCCCCAGCCTCAGTCTCCCGGCCTCCTCTGCAGCCCCGCCCACCCACTCACTTCCTGCCCTGCTGCTCGCCTCTGGGCCCCAGAGCCCACACCAATCCCCCACATGCTAAACACTCACCCGCTCACCTCCTGCAGAGCCTTCCCCGCCCAGGCCACCAGCCAAGAGACCCCTCACCCCTCTGCCTTGAAATTGCCCATGCTGGCCCTCATCCCCAGGGTGGAGGACGGGAGGGGAGAGGGCCTGGTGAGTTCCTGTGAACAGCCACAGGGGGCCCACAGCCTGGAAATGTGGGTGGGTTTGACCTAGTGCCTTTGCACCCCTGTCTCTTTAGAATTGGGGTGAGTTTAAACTTGGGATCTGGGGCCCGGAGAACCCAGTGGTCTCTTGCCCAGTGCCTTTATTTTTCCAGTTCTGGGGCTTGAACTCAGGGCCTGAGCACTGTCCCTGAGCCTCTCTCTGCTCAAAGCTAGCACTCTACCACTTGAGCCACAGCACCACTTCCAGCTTTTTCTGCATATGTGGTACTGAGGGCTTCATGCATGCTAGGCAAGCACTCTACCCCTGAGCCCCGTTCCCAGCCCCTTGTCCAGTGTCTTAAGAGCAGTGAGCGGATGCTGACGCTCAGGCCGTCCGTCCCCAGCTCTTCCCCGTGGTCAAGGAGCTCATGCTGCAGCCGCTCTGGGAGTCCAGGGATCACTACGAGGAGCTGAAGCAGCTGGACGACAAGGTGACGGAGGTGAGGCAGCCGGGGCGCAGGCCGGGCCACACACGCTGCTAGGGCTTGCCTCCAGAGGGCGCGAGGGTTCGAAGGCAACATCGGAGAGAACCCGAAGTCCGGGCGGTTCTGAGGCCGGCCCCCGCGTGGCCTCCCATGCTGCCATGCTGGCCCTAAGAGAAGCAGCTTTGAACAGAGGTGCAGGGCTGAGCCCCGCTGGCTGCGCCTGAGCTCCCCCAGGGGGTGGGGGGCAGGGGGGGCAGCCACTCCTCCCGGCAGCTGACTCAGGCCTGCTCTGCTCTGTCCAGTTACAGAAAAAAACGGAGAACTTGGCCTTGGAGAATGCTGAAAAATCCAGAGAGAAGAGCAGAGAGGTGAAACACGGCGCCGGCCACGCTCTTCCAAACTGATGTCCCCACGCATCGGGTAATTCAGACTAACAGGTGGCGGGCACGGGGAACAACGGAGAAAGAAGACACGGGAGTCCCAGGGCTCCACCTTACAGAAGCGACTCCAGCCTCAAGGTGGACAGACCTGACCCACACTCAAAGCTCAGTCTGCACAGTGTTTTAAAATAAGTGGAGGGGCTGGGAAGGTGGCTCAGTGGTAGATGCTTGCCTCGCATGCATGAGGTCCTGGATTCAATTCCTCGGCACCACATAAGCAGAAAAAGCTGGAAGTGGCGCTGTGGCTAGAGCGCTAGCCTTGAGCTGAAGAGCTGTGGGACAGCGCCCAGGCCCAGAGTTCAGGCCCCTCGACTGGCAAAAAATAAGTGGAACTTTAGAAAGGACCAGGTAGCTCATCCTTGTAATCCTAGCTGCTCAAGGGACTAAGATCTGAGGATCACAGGTTCAAAGCAATCCAGGCAGAAAAGTCTGTTGAGACTCTTAACCTCCGATGAACTGGCAAAAAGCCAGAAGAGGAATTATGACTCGAGTGGTAGAGAACTAGCCTTGAACAAAAAAAGGCAATAGAATGTGAGGCAGAGTCCAAGCCCCAGTTTGGCATAAAAATTAAAGTATGTGTAACTTTAATTCCTTACATGTAATAAGATTCAGCTCTGAAGAAGAGATGTGTACGTAGCTAACAGAAACCCTTAAAATCAGAATATGCACCACTTAGAAGAGAAAGTCCTTTGTAACTTCGACTGAGGTACTCTGCTTTGCAAAGGCAGTGGCTCAGCACGTGCCGCTGCTCGAGTTCGGCCCTGAGCCCTCCTGGCAGCACCCGTGGCCAGTGCATGCCTGACGGCACCACGCGCCTGCCAGCCTGAGGCTGTCAGATCGCCTGAACCATCCCTTAGCTCCTCCTCTCAGGGCTGGTCTCTGCCACATGAGCCACGTCTGACTTCTTGGTGGTTAATTGGAGATACGTCCCACAGACTTTCCTGCCTCAGCTGGCTTTGCCCATGATTCCTCAGCTCTCAGCCTCCTGAACAGCTGGGATTACAGGCGTGAGCCACTGGTGCCCTGCAGTATCATTTCACTCGAAGTCGGGTCATGTCCTGAGTGGCTCCGAAGCAGCTCACTTTGCCCGCATGGGGTCAGTCTGTGTGGTGCAGAGATGGCTGTGACCCGCCTACGGTGTTCAGTCCCCAGATGACAGACCAGCTCTCTCTACTCACAGCAGACTACGGAAGAAACTAGCAGAGCCGTCACAGGGCCGAGAAGAGCCAACGGAGACCGAGACCTTCTGTGCAGGGAACGGGCTTGGGGAGCCCTCCCCTGGGAACCGGCTCCGGCAGACCTCCTCGGCGGCCGAGGGACGTTCCTCTCCCACCAGGCACCCAACGCCACCGGAGCACGTTTTCTACAGCCGCTTTGGTCACCAATGCAAAGGGTGGGGAGGGAATTCGTGACGTTGTACAGAATTTTTATTTTTCAATTGTCTTCTAAATAATATATTCTTCTACAGAAACGGGTGCTGTACATTTTTCCTGTAGACATGTATCCAGCTGCTTCTGGCACATTCCCACACGGGGCTGGTCGGACGCCAGGCGGACCCACGCAGACCCGTGAACAAACCCGCGTGATGGGATGCCGCGTCGGTGTAAATTCCACATTGAATGTCAGAGCGGTGGCACAGCACAGGGCGCGGGCTTGGCTGCTTCTGTGCTGGAGTTGCAGGCCCTGCAGCGGGCTGAGCAGGATGAGTGTGGGAACTGGGGGGGAGGGGCCCCTGGCCAAGGGGCCACAAAGCTGGGTGCTCCAGATGGGGTTGGGGGCACTTCACATACAGATCCCAAGCCGGACACTGCTGGCTCACGCCTGTGATCCTAGCTACTCGGGAGGCTGAGATCTGAGGCTCCTGGTTCAAATCCAGCCTGGGTAGGGAAGTCCATGAGACTCTTTATCTCCAACTAACCAGTAAAAAGCCAGAGTGGAGCTGTGGCTCAAGCAGTGGAGTGCCAGCCTTGAGTGAAAAAGCTGAGAGAGTATGAAAGGCATGTGCAACGCACACACAGCACACACATGCACAACAGGCCACAGCAATCACAGCAATGCACACACATGCACAACAGGCCACAGCAATGCACACACATGCACAACAGGCCACAGCAATCACAGCAACGCACACACAGCACACACATGCACAACAGGCCACAGCAATCAAAGCAACGCACACAG